GGATGCTCTGCCCCGTGATTGGATAGAGGAGAAGCAGGGAAAGTGGGTGTGGGGACATCCATGTCCCTCAGGGCCAGTCGGGGACACAAGCCCATCGGGTGCTTTAGCCAAGAGAGTTTACATAGGGGCTTAAACAGGTGTCGAGTAACCGACAAAGCAGAATGGGGCCCCGAGGGACACAGAACTGCAGGAAGCTCAGGGGACAGGCCCCCAGAGCTGGCGCCCCGCCCCTGGCGCCTGGAGGGGTGCAGATCACCAGTGCCCCTGCGGAGACTGCTTGGTTCTGGGAGTGCCGCAGGCAGGGCCGGCTGGCAGCCCCAGGGCGTGGGCACCTGCCCTAGGGACAGCAAGGGGACAGCAGGGAGCCGTCCGTCTGCCCCTCCGGTGTCCCAGCCTCTGTCCATGCCCTCGCTGGCAGAAGTAAGCGGGGAGCCGCTGCCGAGAGAGAGAGCTGCAGGGCTGACAAGGGGAGGGCGCCAAGGGGAGGGCGCGGGGCCCGCCTCCCACTTCCTAGCAGGAAAGAGCCTCGTTAGCTTACGAACCCACATCTGCGCAACAGGCCAGGAAGACCGAGCACGGCTCAGACCTCGCTTTGTTATCGGTGGGGCCCTCACTGCCACTTACAAGTTCCTCTCCCTCTGCGTCCCGTGGCCCTTGCCTCCACCAGCTCCTCAGCAACTCGGGGCGCTTCCCCTCAAATGGGGACCCAGGCCTCCACTCCCGGGCTGTCCTTGGCAGATAGACACCCCTGCTGGCACGGCACCCTGCTTTGCATGAATTCTTACGTGTGTCCCTGGTGGAGCGCCCCCCCCCCGCCCCCGCTCCCCAGAGCAGCAGGACACCGAATCGTGGGGTCGGGGGAGGAGTTGCTGTTCCTGTCACGTCCTGGTGCTCAGAGCCTCTGATGCGCCTTCTGGTCCCACAGAGGGCTGTTGCCCCACAGCTGGGGTCACTGAGCCTGCCTAGGGCCGTTGGGCCCTCCCTCGGGCCAGGCACTTCAGGGTGAGGGCCATCGTGAGGCCAGTGGGGGCTGTGGGGCTGCCCTGAAGCAGCGTGGGCCCCTGAGGCTCAGAGGGTGGCCCCTGGGTGGCCCCAGGCAGAGCCCCAGCCCGCACGCCTGTCTGTCCGGTGAGGATAGCGCCCCTGCCTGGGGAAGGGGCATATCGCAGTCACCCACCCCCTGCCAGGGGGCCGCATCGGGCTGGGTGAGCCGAATTGAACCGGGCTCTGCTTCTGGAGGGCAGGGTGTCAGTGGTGCCCTGGGGGGAGAGGCTTGCACATTACAGGACGCGTCCTTCTGTGTCTTGTGGGTGTTCGCTCTGCCCATCCACACATGCGCTTCCTGGACCCCATCCCCTGTGGTCTGGCCTGTTCTTTCCGTGCCCTGATCGCAGGAATCGTTACGTTTCCCGGTATAGACGGGGCGGACCCCGCTTGCCGCAGAGCTTTCCCTTCAGTACCGTCTCGGGGGGGATTCTCCCGATTGAGGCTGGAATGCCACAGGTGGTCCACTGGGTAGAGTCAGCCCATCACCCAGAACCTCCAGAAACCAGGCCCCAGGTTTCTCCCTGTGGCCAGCTGGCCAGTCATAACTCACACAGGCACCAGGGCGGGGAGGGCGGGCAGGAGAACCAGGGCATCCCACCCACTCCGGTCTAGTCTCTCACGTCCATTTGTGGCCAGGAGGGTCACATCCCTCGTGGTCTACCGGTGACCGGATAGGCCACGGTCACGACTCTGCCGTGCCTCTTTGTCACGGGGGACTAGGTATCTGCAGATCAGTGGTGAGCTGTGATTCTGTGTGGGCCTCCCAGGGGCACCCCACCCTGGCCCTAGGCTGGCGTCTAATCAGGGTTGAGTCTTGTGGATGAACCTTCCCATCCTTCATCAAGGCCACATGTCTCTGTGTCAATGACCCGACGTGGCCCCCGTGTCAGGAGGGCCCTTGGCAGGTCGGGTCACTACACCCGGGGAGAAGCCGCACCCTGTCCCGTGTCTGATTACTGGTGAGGGTCCAAGACCCCGGGTGCGGGTGCCAGCAGGACCTTCAGCCCCTGCCTGGCCTAGAGGGATGGCTGGAAGATTCGGGATACGGGCCCTGAGACAAGGTTCCTTCCAGGGGCAGCAAGTGGATCATGGGCGAGCTGGGGACGCTGGTTCCTCAGCCCACGGGGCAGGGCTGGGGGCGTGGCCCTGAGCGTCCTGAGCCGGGAGCTGGGCCCCTTCCGAGGGTGCGAGTAGCCGAGGGAGGTTGAGTCAGGCCTTGGGATCACCTGTGGTGCAGATGATCTGGAGGGTCTGCCGTGTGCTGGAGGGAGCTCATTCGGTCGCGAGAGACACCTGCGGGTGCGCGGCAGGATTCCAGAGCGGTCGGGTGTGGTGCAGGAGCAGGTGGCATTCGCATGGGGACCGGAGGCATGGGCACCACCCTCCCACTGAGCAGAGACGGGGGCCAAGGCCGCAGCCAGCGGGACGGCGAGGGGCGGGCCCTGGGCGGGCCAGAGTGGGCCTCCGGGCAGTACGTAGGGCCTGGGGCTGACCTAGCTGTGCTTCTGAGACGAGAAGCCCAGGGGGCCCGGAGTCTGGAGCTGAGAGCTGGGAGGGGCGGGTGGACATGGGAGGGACAATCATCACCGTGAGCCTGAAAACCAAGAGGCCTGATGAGCTCGCCGGAGTGCGAGGCCTCAGAGGGCAGGAGGGGCCCTGGGCGCCAGCACTCGGGTCAGGCCCCGGGAGATGGCCCGAAGCACTGGGCAGACTCAGGCCTGGAGGTCACCGGACAGGAGGACCGGCTGGGTCGGGAGCGGGGACACGCGGGACGGGTGGAGGGGTGAGTGGGGGGGCGAGGGTTCTGTTGCGAGTGAAGGTGTCGGGACATGTGGTGTCTTGCTAGCAGGTGAGGGAGAAGGGGCGCCTGAGGGGGGCCCTCGAGAAGGCCGGGGGGTCCCGAGGACATTAGGGGGGTGGGGCACGGGGAGCGGCCCCTGGGTGCTCTGATCGCAGGGGTGGCCCCTTGGCAGGGGTGTGAGGAGGAGGGTGTGGAGCCCGAGGTGGAAGCTGGGGCGCGCGGGGGCAGGAGGGGCGGGGGCAGGG